GCAGAATACAGGATCAGTGTACAAAAATCAACTGTAGGACCAGGCCATGGTGGCATATGCCTGTAATCCCAAAGACTTGGGAGACTGGGACAGGAGGATCACAAGTTCAAGGCCAGCCTCAACAACTTAGGGAAATACTGTCTCAAAAGTTAAAAAAAAAAAAAAAATAGAAACGACTGGGGATGTAGCTTAGTCATACAGCATCTCTGGATTCAATTCCCAGCAACAAGGGGGAAAAATAAACTGTAGGGGCTATGTATGTACCACAGTGGTAGAGCATTTGTCCAGCATGAACAAGGTCCTGAGTTCTATTCCCAGCACCAAAAAAAGAATAGAATAACTTGAATAAATTTAACATAGGAAGTACAAGGCACCATTGAAAGAAATTAAAGACCCAAATAAATAGACACCCCATGTTCATATGAGCAACACCTTCCAAATTGATTGCATTCAATATAACCTCCACCAAAATCTCAGGCTTATTTTCAGAAATTGACAAAATTATTCCAAAATTCACATGAAAACTCAAGGAACCCACCATAATCAATCTTAAAAAAGAAGTATAAAGTTAAACTACTCACACTTCCTAATTTCAAAACTTCCCACAAGCCTCCACTAACCAGAGTAATGTGGCAATGATATAAGGACAGATCTTTCTCCAAAGCAATAATCACAAGAAAAGATGTTCCACATTATTTTGCCAACCAAAAATGTAAATCAAAGCCACAATTCGAGCTGGGGATGTAGCTCAGGGAGAGCACTCAAGGGGCAGATCCTGAGTTCTATCCCCAGCACAATAAAAACCAGACTGCAAAACAAAAAATCCACAATGAGATGCCGCTTCACACACAGTAGGATAGCTACAAGAGACAACCAGAAAATCACAAGGGCTGGCAAGCACGGGAGAAATCAGAACCCTCGTGCACTGCTGATAGTAATGGAAAATGGTATAGCCACTGTGGAAAACAGTGACAAAGAATTACCATAAGATCCAGCAATTCCATTTTTAGGTATATAAAAGAATTGAGGGCTGGGGATGTGGCTCAAGCGGTAACGTGCTCGCTGGCATGCACAGGGCGTTGGGTTCGATCCTTAGCACCATATAAAAATAAAATAAAGATGTTGTGTCCACTGAAAACTAAAAAATAAATATTAAAAAAAGAATTGAAAGCAAGGATACAGATACTTGTGCACCAACAATCACAGGAGAATTATTCAAAATAGCTGAAAGTCACCAGCTATGGTGGTATACTTCCTATATTCCCAGTGACTTGAGAGGCTGAGGAAGGAGGATAACAAGTCTGAGGACAGCAATAGCAACTTAGTGAGATCTTGTCTCAAAATAAAAAATAAAAAAGGGGGGCTGGAGTTGTGGCTCAGTGGTAGAGTGCTTGCCTAACCTAGCATGTATGAAGCACTGAGTTTGATCTTCAGCACCACACAAAAATAAATAAATAAAACAAAGGTATTGTGTCCATCTACAACTAAAAAAAATTTAAAAATAAATGTCTGGGGTTGTAGCTCAGTGGCAGAGCATTTGCCTAGCATGTGAGAAGCACTAGGTTTAATCCTCAGCATAAATAAATAAATAAATAAATAAATAAATAAATAAAGGTATTGTATCTATCTATAACCAAAAAAATATTTTTAATTATAAATAAATAAATACAAAGGACTGGGGATGTAGCTCTGTGGTAAAACACCCCTGGATTCAATCCCCAGGACCAAAAGCAAAAAACATCCAAAAGGTTTAAACAACCCAAATACTGATCAGTTGATAAAGAGGTAAATATTATTATGCTGCATACTCTACAATGAAATATTTGGCAATAAAAAGAAATTTAGCACTGGTCTGTGATATAACATGTACCAGCTTTGAACACATTATAAATGAAAGTAGCCAGACACAAAAAGTGTGTGTGTGTGTGTGTATGTATATATGTGTGTGTGTGTGTGTATGGTTTTTTTTTCTGGCGGGGGGGTACCAGGGATTGAATCCAGGTGCACTAGACCACTGAGCCACATCCCCAGCCCTATTTTGTATTTTATTTAGAGACAGGGTCTCACTGAGTTGCTTAGCACCTCGTGGTTGCTGAGGCTGGCTTTGAACTTGTGATCTTCCTGTCTCAGTCTCCCAAATCGCTGGGATTACAGGCATGTGCCACCGCACCTGGCCAAAAGGTCATATATTATGTGGTTTCATTTATATAAAATGCCCAGAATAGTCAAATCCACAGGAAGAGAAAGAGATGAATAGTTGCCAGGGGCTGGGAGGTTTGGGGAAGAAATGGGACAGTGACTGCTAATGGGTACAACATTTCTTTATAAGGTGATAAAAATGTTCTAGAATTAAGCCAGGGTTGTGGCACATGCCTGTCTATAATCCCAGCAGCTCGGGAAGCTAAGGCAGGAGGATTGCAAGTTCAAAGCCAGCCTCAGCAATTTAGCAAGGTGCTAAGCAATTCAGTGAGACCCTGTCTCTAAATAAAATACAAAAATAGGGCTGGGGATGTGGCTCAGTGGTTGAGTGCCCCTGAGTTTAATCCCCTGTACCACCCCCCCCAAAAAAAGTTCTGGAATTAGATAGCAGTGACAGTTTCACAGCTATGTGAATGTACTAAAACACACTGAATTACACATTTCTAAAGGATGCATTTGTGGTATGTGAATTGTATATCAATAAAGTTGCAATTTTTTTTTTTTTTTTGCAGTGCTGGGGATGCCACTGAACTACATCCCAGGCCAAAGCTGTAAATTTTGGGGGAGAGGGGGGAGGGGGTACTGAACCCAAGGGTGCTTTATCACTGAGCTACATCCCCAGCCCTTTCTATTTTTTATTTTGAGACAGGCAGGATCTCACTAAGTTGCTTAGGGTCTTGCTAAATTGATGAGGCTGGTCTTGAACTTGTGATCCTCCTATCTCAGCCTCCTGAATTGCTGGGATTATAGGCATGTGCCATCACACTCCCAGCTCCTACAGTTGCTTTTTGTACACTGATCCTGTATTCTGAAACCTTGCTGAACTCATTAGTTTTAATATTTTTAGTGGATTTCTTAGAATTTTCTGTATATTAGGATCATATCATTGGTGAATTGATTACTTTTTCCTTTATATTTTAAAAAATTATAAATAAATAAATAAAAGGAGTGGGAATGTAGCCCTGTGGTAAAACACCCCTGGATTCAATCCTCAGGACCAAAAACAAAAAACATCCAAAAGGTGAAAGCAACCCAAATGCCCATCAATTGATAAATATTGTGCTGCCTGGGGTTACATGAGACCAGTCTTACATCAAATGCTTCACCAAAATTTCTCCAAAAAAGTCAAGACAGATGGGCTAAAATGGCTTGCCATTTAACGGAGGGATTCCAGAAAACGAAGCAATAAGGAGAGAATCCCAAGTCCCCATCAACCGACCAGCCAGGCCCACCTCCCATCTGGAGTCCGGGAATACAAGATTCTGCAGAATGTCCTCTTGGTCCCAATCTGGGTCATTGCAGACCCCTATCCCACCGGGGAAATGGCAATGGCCTGGCAAGGGTTCCAAACTGGAAACAAGAGAAGAGTAACAGCAGAGGGGGGAGTGTAGCAGAGGGAAGAAGGTGGAAAGCAGCAATTGGGAGAAGCAAGGGCCCCACGCACGTTCCACGGAAGAGCCAAGGAGAGGGGACCAGAAGCTCCACCAGGCTGGGGCAAAGCTTGCAAGCCACCCCTACTTCCACCCTCCCCCGCCTCCTATTCTTGGAGGCCAAAGGAACTAAGTAAGCTCCCAACACAAATGCTGAGCTCCCTGCAGCCACCTCCATACATTGATCCGTTCCAAATCTCCCCCTACGCTCCCACCAGGATTCTGCCCATGTCTACTGGGGTTCCCCCTTATTCGTCTAGGAACCTCCTGGTTCTCTCTAGTCAAACCGTCTCCTGCATGCACTAGCTCCCCAGTGTGACAAATAAACCCACAAGTTCAGGTCAGAGCTACTAAATGCATACCTGTCTGCGCTTGCATCTGTTCCTGGTTCCCGACTCCCTATGACCTTGACCTCCCTGAACTTAGCCCTAGAGAGTCTCTGTCCACACCATCAGGGATACATTTCTCTAAACACCCGGCGGGGTGCACACAGAAAGTACACAAACGCGGGGCCTGGGAACCTCCGCGCACACACAGACGGGGCACAGGCACACACTCACGTAGTCACGCCACGCACAGGCAAAGAAGCCCCACTCGGGGCTGCGGGGCTGTGTGAGCACGCGGCCGGGTGTTTCCAGCTCCGCGCAGCTCACCACCAGGTTCATAGCCTGCATGGCTCAGGAGGCCAGAGCCGGGGCCGATGTGCTGAGCGTCGGCCAGGCACAGCCAACCTGGAGGCGCCCACTCACCCGAGAAGCCCAAGGCCCAGGAGCCCACAATTCTGACAGGGCCAAACCCAGGAATAGCTCAGGAGTGGCCTTCCAGCCACCAGGCCGGACAGCGACGGGCGTGGGCGCCTTAGGGCTTCTGCGTCCCTGGCCCGTCGGGACCGAATTCGGCAGCCCCAGGCACGGTAGGCGCCCGGCCTCTACCTTGGCTCTGGGTCCAGCTGGGAGAGCTTGTGCCAGGAATCCAGCCCGTTGCTATGCAACCTCCATCCCGCGCCGGCCAAGCCGTGCCTCCCGGCTACAAGTCCCGGGACGAAAGCGTACCCTACCCCGGGCAAACCCAACTTCTCATCTCGGGCTGATCTGGACGCAGGGCTCGTGTTCCAATCTTCTTCAGGCACCCAAGTCTTGCGCCTCACACCCCCACCCCCATCCAGCTCCCCCATCCGTGGCTGGTTCCCACGGAGCGCCAACACCCAGCAACCCCAGAATCTGAGGGTGAGGTTGGCTCCCTACCTTTTCCTCTTCGATGCCTACTGCCCTCCCACGCCCGCCTCCCCGACTCCACCTGTCCTTCCCTACGGGGTCTGTTCAATCGCTTGGCGGGGCTTTGCCCCTCACCCCTGAGGCCCAGCCGCCCTACCTGAAGCATCACTTTGTACTGCTCCTCCGGTTTCTGAACCACGCACATATTACATCCCATGGTGCTGGCAGGCGAGGGAAGGAAGAGAGCGGGAACGGGAACACACCTTTCACTGGCCCATGCGCGGGACCTCTGGTCCCGGGCCGGGGCCGGGGTCCATATCCTAGCGCGGGGGGCGGGCCACCTAGCGGGGGAGGGGGGCACGCCCCCAAGGAGGGGGCAGCTCCACGCCCCTCTGCTTAACTCTTCGCTGCCAGAGGCTAGGCGCCGGCATGCTCCTTCGCACCCGGCCAGGAAAAAAAGGGCAGCGGGGGATGGGCGGGCGCGCCGGGCG